GCAAAAACCGCGATAGAGTGAAGCCGCGGAAGTCGAAGCGCGAAGTGGCGAGGGTTCACTGTATAGTTGATGAATTGTATTGCAGCAACTTAGACATACTTGCAAAAATAACTGATGATTTTAAAATGAGAGTAGAATAAAATAGGAATGAACATAACTCAGCAGCTCAGTAATTCAGAGAGAACGTTTGCACACTGCCTTCAAAAGAGACTGAAAGGAAATAATACAAAATATTACCAATAGTTATCTGTGCATAGGGGACCAATGGATGATTTAAATTTTCTACTTTAAATATTCCTGTGTTTTCCAGCTTTCTCTTACATACGATATATTAGTTTTTAAAAAGTATTATTTAACTATTCTGTACATATGAGACACAAGCTTAAAATATACCTCAACAACTAGAACCTTACCAGCACCTATAGGGTTTCCTATCTTGTAAAGATTTACAGTCTTGGAAATCCAGAGGCAGTTCTACTCTGCCCTGAGTGTGATCCTATGACTCGCAATCAATTCATTCAACTCATTGGCGGTGTATTTGGAGTTAGAGTGAGTCCAAATGCACTCCAGGGTCTAGGGTTCAGAGTTTTGTTGCCGCTGTTTGAATGTTTGCCCTCTACATTGTTGTTTTTTTTACATAATTCGTCCATACATACTGGTGAACATGTGGAGTTTCATTCTCCTTGTAGTGTGTGATCATGCTATAAAAGGTTTATCCATTCTATTGTTGCTGTTGAGCATCTGTGTACGTGGTTTGGGACTGTTAGGTTTGTATTCATGTTGGGAATATACTAGGAGTGGAATTGCTGGGTCATGGGGTATGGCCAACCATAAGCAAATAAGCCAAACAGTTTTCCAAAGTGGCTGTACCAATTTCTACTGCCTCCAGCAATGGATGAGCATTCCTATTGCTTCATACATTTCAGCAACCCTTGCTATTTTCTCTTTTGCCTGTTATCTATTCTAATGGCTTTGTGAGGAACAGTATTATATTAATCATCAAAAGGAGAGCCACACATGTTTATTCAATTGACAAGTCGAAGGCCTGGGAGGAAGTAACTTTGTGGTTAGAATTTCATTTTCGTTCCTCAAATGGTCATTGCATTCCTACTACTGTAGCCTTCATACTAGACATCGTACTAGACTAGTTAGGAATATAGACTAGTTCCCCTCAAAATAACCACCCAGGGATGGACAGACGCGAAAACAAATGAACAGTGTTCTAATGAAGAACCA